CAGTCTTTGTCAAGCATATGGTTCTTTATAGCAGGCGTCTTCACAGCACTGCCTTTGGGGAATGCTGCTGAGACGGGAATAGCTCTGCGTGTCAGTGCTTGCCTGTGCCAACTGCTTGATCAGATGTGAATGTTCTGCTCTAATAATGTAAATCAGAAATAAGAACCCAAGCTCTCGTGAGATTCACTGTGACCAATGGCTGGAGAGTAGACAGAGCCATCACACCTGCTTCTCCAATGCTGCCTAGAAGCGATCAGCATCCTTAGTTACCAGCTGGAGACCTGTGCTTTTCCAACTTATTTTGTAGCCTTTTTAAAATCAGTGCAGATATAGATGTAACAAGAATTTTGGTTTGGCTTTTCTGTGTGTCATCAGCATTTGCAGTAGCAGAAGAAGAAAATTTTGGCGTAATTCAGGCAAATATTCAGATGCAGTGCATAGTCTATTCAGCAGCACCTTTAAGTGATCTCACATAACCAGTGCCCTCAAATGTGTTACTAACAGTCTCTTCTAAGTCTGCATCTCCTTTACGTTCTGACACGTGTATGTGATACGATGGCAGGAGCAGGAATTGGTTTTGATGCAATACTTGCTGTACCCAACTCATCCTGGATTCCTTGGTGATCCTGCTTCTGCTGCTCAATTCCAGAGTTGTTGTGTCTCATGTCCAGCTCCTTGTTGATCCGCTTCAGTTGCTCACAGATGAAATGTAGCCTATTGTGATAGTCTAGGCATACATCTTGCCAGCTGACATACACCTCACTGTTCCCCTTTGGTTCCTCTTCCACCACCGGAACAGTAGCCTGCTGCAATCCATGGAACGTCTGCCGTAGGCACCACTTAGGCACCTTCTGCAAGATTCAAAATGAGATCAGTCCTACATTCCTAGAGCAGTTTCCATCAAAGAAAGAAGGTGGAACACCTTGGCTTGCTTTGGGCAGCCTCCTTAGATGAGTATGCTTCCTAGAAATACTGCACTTTGACAGCCTGCCAAAATATTTGGCGTGTGAAGCTCTTGCACAGCTGTGATTCTCCTGTGGGAAAACCCACACCACCACCAGAAAGAAGCCTTTAGCTGACCTGACCAGCTTAGTGTTGGTGTTCCGAGGGAGACGTAGGCAATAGCGGAAGATCTCGAATGTACAGATGCTAGCTTACTCTTCGTTTTTTGGATCAACTACACAGATACTTTGTTAGCACTCTCAAAAATTGCATGCCACACACCTCCTCAGATTTACTCCAGCCTTCTGGCTTGTTTTACTGTCTGTGTGGATCGCCTCTCTCAGATTTTGGAAGCATGGGGATGTTAATAAAGGACGCAGGCTTAGCTAGTGTTTGTTTAGGATATTCACTACAGTTTCCAATTTTGCTTAATTCTACTTTACAATTTTACTAGGGATTGGATCCTCATATGTTTTCAGTTTAACGAGTTTTCATATGACACAATATCAAATGCTTCACAGAAATTGAAGTAGGTTTGATTTTCATTATTCTTCTCCCTTCCTTTAATCTGACCCTTATCTCCATCAAGTACTGACCCTGCTCCTGCTTTTTGTTGGTAGGCAGTAAAAGATACTCTGCTATTTTCAATTACTTTTCCAGGGTGCAACCCAGTTTATTCCAGCTCTTGGCTTCTACAATATACCTTCCTTCCCTACTAGTTTTTTTGCTCTTACTTTTTGTTTGGCACTCTATTTTAGTATGTATTTTTTGTCATATAAGTATGCTTGGAGCCATGGCCTGAAAGCTCCCCACATCTATGCAAAACGTTCCAGGTAGTTTTGTACCTTTGTTTTCAGGAAATTCCAGTCCTCCTCCCTTCTCAAGAACTCTGCAAGTTGACTTCATTAAGTAGCCCTCCTAACTCTTCAGAATTAAGCCAAATAAAAAAAAAAAAAAAAATCAATATTTAAATTTTTCAAGTAGATGTTGTTAATAGAGCCGCAAGGTTTCTGTTCTTAAAAAAAAATAAGCTCTAGCTCACTTTTTTCCCACCTATAAGAGACTCGTATAAAACAAATGAAAAATTTAAACCCCTGGAAACTAGTCCTTCTTGCCCTGAAGGCTGCTAAAATTATCACAATTATTCAAGCAGCCTTAACTGTTGACAGAAGTTTTTGTTTGTTTTATATAGCTACCGTATTTCATTTGGAAACTACTAAAAATATAATCATCTTAGAGACCATCTGCTTGAAATGACAGTGCATACTGGGGCTACATTTTAAAACTTTTTTTTCTGTTTTGTTCATTATCTCTCCTAAAACTCGTTACATGACAAGCTCAGTATTCAGTGCTAAGGGTTTCTTCTCTGAATTAATTTTCTACTTACATCTAAAGTGCACACAACCATTTCCACCAAGTATTCATATATCATTTATTCACTAAATTTCCTTTTGGGAGTTGAGAGGGGAGAAGTCGGCAGAGCCTGGTTTTCATAGGTAAATGCCATGTCATTAACTGTACCTTTGATGAAGAGACCTTTTCCTTTGCCCCCCTCATTGCCTCTTCTGGCCTGGATTCCAGGACAAGAGGAAGAAGAGCCTGAGCTGGTTGTCATGGTCCATGGTGCACAACTGCATGTGATGGGCTTTGGGGTTGATTGTTTTCCGTTCAAGTAATACGTGGATTAGGAAGGAGGAAATTTCCTTCGAGAGATAATTTGGTGAAAGAAGCTCCAACACTTTGAAGTATAATTATTTGGTGTAAAACAACTCATTTCAAATATTCCACCATGTTGTCTCATCATACAAGCCGTTTTCTTCTTGTATTTTGTATCCTCTCCATAATACCAACACCTGCACTTGGCATCTAAGACTGAAAATGACAATAAATTAGAGGTGGAGGTAGGATAATTAATTTGTCCTCGGTAAGGTTGGTGGGTTTTGTTTTTTCATTTTTTATTTTTATTTTAAGAAATTTTCTGGAAGATGCCTTTGGTTGGCTGAGACCCATGTATATATGGAGGCAGGTCTAATGTTTGAAGAACCTGTTAACAAGCGTTAACACGGTTAACAGTCAGAAAGCCAATACAAAAGGAAGCTAACACATCAGATAACACTGTTTGTATCACCTCTGTCAACTTATGATTTGTTTCTGAGTTTGTACCACCCATTCTTAAACAGAAGTACGTGCTTCACTGAAGAATCACTTCCTTTTCACCTGTTAACAGAGTCATAGCAAGCTGGTATATATAGAAAATGTGGTGTTTGCCATCTTTGGCTGCCAAAGTTTGTAGCCTTCCCTGATGGATCTTACAGTGTTGTCTGACTTTTCAAAATATCAATTCAATGCTAAGATCTTTCTGAACATACGCAGAAGGTCTCTTGTAGAAGGTTCCCTACAGCCTATATGGTCTAAAGATTCACTGGAACAGTCCATATGTGATTTATTATTACATCTTCATGGTTTCTTTGTATTAAACACTTAATGTGGAATTTAATATTCATGAGTTAACATCTGTTTTGTTTGAAGAGAGGCAGCTGATAAAATTCTGAGTGTATTTTTTTTACATCTCCCATTTATATTCTGGATCTTCATAAAGGTACAACTGCAATGACAACTCTCGATCTGGCAAACATCCTCTATGAGAAGAGGGCAGACAATACCTCTGTTCTGTAGTAATTCATCATTATTGTAAAATGAGTCTTGTTTCAATTAAGTGTCTGGGAGAATTGCTGTACTTAAAGTGTGAGATGCCTGACTGTACTTGAGACAGGCTGCAGAGCTGCTGTGAATTCCCCCAGTGACGTACAATGGGCCTCACTGCAGAGGAATCCCTACAGCTTGGGAAGGAAACTAACGATTGGGGATATTTTTTCAAATATTGTAGCTGGACCCCTCAACAGCTCTCGTGGGGTATTTTGGCAATGAGCTACCAGGTGATCATGGTAACTGCAACAGAGAACCTACAAACTTTTTCACAAGTCATCTCTTTTCCCTAATTTCCCTCTATTACCTTGTGCACGTAGCATTAGATGGAAGATGGTGAAAATATCTGTATGGCATATAAAATTAGCTCTTAGAGAACAGGCGTGTGAGAATTAAGTATCTCGTGCAGAGTGGCTGCATGCATCTCTGGCTCTTGGGACACAAAGTCCAAAGCCATTTGCATGAATGATTTTACCCTTAAACACAGAGGGGAAAAATCTACCTGAAGTGACAGATTGATTTTAAGTTGAGTTCTGGAAGCTGCAGCATACCTGCTGGGACTTGTTCAACACACTTGGATTCAGTTGTTTAATTTGATGCTAATGGTGTTTCATGCTTTGTAGGATTAAAGAAAAGTTTAAAAGACCAAGCCTTTGTATTTACTTAGCTGCTTTAGACTGGGTAGTATGAATGAAGAGTTAAAAGTAATGTGATGTGTAAGTGTGTTTTGTATAATTACAGAATCACAGAGGGGCTGAGGTTGAAAGAGACCTCTGGAGGTCGCCTGGTCCAACCCCCTGCTCAAGCAGGGCCAGATCTGTGTAGTAGTTTCACACTGAGCATGGACTGTATCCGGAAAAAATAAACCAAAAGACAAAATGGGGCATTGCTTTCTATGTAAGATAGCAATTTATATCAAATACAGATTGCAGCAAGTAAAAAGGGCTTTTTGACAAACTAGCATTTCATAGCAAACCATTTGTGGTTCTGATTCTAGCCTCCATATTTTAATAGAGAATGATATGAGCATGTATTTTCTGTCTTTTCTTATATTAAGATTTCACATAGCTATTTTTATTTAGGAAAGTTTAGCAGTTAGAGACCTAATTCCATGAAGTTATTTACTCTAATTATACTTTAGATAACCTTTTTTATTTTTTGTTTGCAGAGAGGTACAGTTTAAAATGAAAAATACCTTCTTATTTGATTTAATGTTTGCTTTGAAAATAATGGGGAAAAAAAATCAAGATTTTATTTAGACATGACTGTCGTCTTTGTTGATCCAACTGTTGTCACATTTATCCACTAACAGCAGAATTTTTGATTAATCTTTCTTGTTTGTTTTCACACAGAGAATTTGGATGGCGAGATCCAGAGCTTCCAGAAGTTATACAGATGTTACAGCATCAATTTCCCTCAGTACAGTCCAATGCTGCAGCCTACTTACAACACCTCTGTTTCGGAGACAATAAAATAAAAGCAGAGGTAAGATTTATAAATACTTTTTTCAGCAGTGATGCCATCTGACATTTCTCATCACCAGTTATTTAGATGTACTTGAAAAAGAGTTACAAGAGAAATATTATATATATGCCTGGACCCATTTTTCGCAAGCTTTCACTCAAGTCATTTGTTGCCATTAGAGAAAGTTAAAAAAATGCATAAAATATTACTGTCTCTCATTTATTTTGCTCGATTTTGGATATTTTGCTTGATTGCACACCGTTTAAGCACTGTATCAGTAGTTGTTCAGTAGACAGCTAGTGCTATAGTCGTGACCTCACTGAAGCATATAAGTGTTTCCTTATGATTGTCAAAGCAAGCTATTTCGACACTACAAACACAGAGAAAATTAAGCAAAAGGATTCTGAATCAAAGCCTGCTTTAATGTGTAATTGTGTGACTAGGGTTTAATTTCACTGGGTTTGCAGCTTGAACTGTGATCATTAGTCTATGATCTTGCAGACTATCTGAAACGTAATTCAAAAAGCACTATAGACTTTGTTCCATACCTGTAGTGGATCAGTACTTCTTGCTTGCTTGTTCCCTGTGGTTGACGGGACCAGTGCAGCTTTTGGCACAAGTTGAAACAGAAGGAAGGCAGCTCTGAGGGACCTGACAAACACAGGAGAGTCAATTAAAATTGAATGAGTGAAGCTGTTACCAGCCCCAGCTGCCTCCCCTGCCCCTCCCAGACATGCTGCTAATCAGGGACATGTGGTGTGCCCAGAAATCTCTGCCTGTACTGGCACCTTTTAGCCTGGCATGTAAAGGTAAACTGAGATCAAGATCTGCTATTGTGTATTTGTCAGAACTCTGCAGCGTTGCTGGCTTGGTAGGTGCTTCATTATCCTCACCCTCAGCCCGCACCACGCCATGGGTCTGTCCGGCGACAGCAGCTTTCCCTTCTAGGCTTTTTCATGCTGAGGAAATTCCCGAGTGAATTCCCGATCTGCTGGCACTGGCAGAGCTGCGTTGGTTGTGTACATCACTTCAAACATCTCGGAAATAATAATAAAATATATTTACATGAATGTTCAAAATGAAGAATGTTTGCGCACTGGAAAGGGGAACTCTGTTGGAGATGTCGCTGAAAATTTTCACTGCACAGTCTCCCCCTGCTCTTTTCTCATCCTTATTCGCAAATTAGTTTTTCAGTAAAGAATTGATTAATCTCTGAGAAAGGCAGTTAAATGATTAGAGCAATTTATTCATCATACAATCTGTGCTGCCTCCTGTTAGCCATAGATTGAGAGCCCTTAGGTATCTATCACATTTGAAGGAGGAAGATGGTTTGATTGTTGTTACTAACCATTTAGGGAAAGAGAAGGCTGATTGTTGTTGACCTAACCGATCCCACTAGGGCATCTGCCTTTGTAAGCTTTAGGCTCACGAGCTGGAATGGTGAAGGTAAGTATGTAAAACAATAGAAATTGTTGAATTGAATCTAGGCAGCTGGCTGACTTTCTTCTCTGAAAAAGAATAACATAAAATGAGGAATTCCCCCCCTCTTGTGTTATTATTCAAGGCTTTGATATATTCCACACTCCATAATACGTAAACTGTCTTTGTAAACAAGCCAAAATTTTTTTTTTTTTTTTTAAAAAGTCCATCTGAGAATATGTTTTCAAACTTCTGATACTGTGGATTTTTCTAAGACAACAAAAAAATGAGATGTATACTTCTCTAACGCTTTGTGAAGCTTTTTAGACTAAAGCATCCAACGTTAGCAAACTATTTTATCTCTTTCTGTATCTATTTGTCTACCAACCTATAGTATTTAATGGTAAGTCCTGTTGTGCTTAGGCCATGATTCAGCAGATCACTTGAACAGTTTCCTTGTTTATTGGAATCAGGATCTACCCAAAGGGTTGGTAGTGTGCTTAGGGTCTGCTTGAGCTTTCCACTGACTAAGAATTTCTTGATGAACCCTTTGTGTAGGGAGTTCAAAATCCTGTCAACGAGGGGATATCACAGCAGATATCCCAGATTCTTACTAGGCTTATGCCCAGCCTGGGGAACTTGAGTGGTGCTGTTAAACCTACTTGGGACAACTCACACGCTAACAGTTAAGGACATGTCTGAACTGTGAGTAGAACTAACACCTAAATAATAGGAACTGATATCAAAATTCTCTCTTCTGCAAAATATTTGTGTTGCAGTTGTGTGTTATGGCCACATCTCCTCTGTCTGAGAGTGACCACACTTAATATCCAATTCCTTTTTCACAAAAAGCAGCGTGCCAGTCCTGCTGCACGCAGCTGCAGCAAAACGCGCCAGCTCAGACACAAGGTGCAGGGAAAAGAAGCACCAGGACAGACCCTAATTTTTGTTTTCCTTGCAACCTTTTGTCAAATTAGTAATTACAAATTTTGGAAGGCCAGGTGTAAGTTTGAGATCACAAAGCTGAAAAATTCCAGTTCTTTTGGAGCACAGAAGACTCTGCTCTTTTACCAAATGCCTAGCTTCAGTACAGCAAATGACTTGGACTACAGGAAGAAAACTTGTCTTGGTGGTCTTTCAAACACTGGAGAAAAGACAAACATAGGAATGTGTAAATTAAGAAAACTTGTTATTTTGTACATCTGACAGGGACTGAGGAAAAAGCAAATTTAATTCACTGAATTATTTGTTAAGCGTTAATGTGTAACATGCACTTGAGCGTACACACACACATACACAGAGAATGAATAGTAGTATGCAAAAATTTAGTTTGCTTACTGGGTTGCATTGAATTTGAAATGTAACATAGTTGTTAAAGTATCAACTCGAGCTATCTGGAAGAAAGAAAAAATAATGTTCATTTACCTTTATTGGTAAAGAGCATCAAATTGTCACACTGCAAGTAACGTCTATTTTATCCAGAGTTTCTGGAAATAATTGTCCTGAAATACTTCTTTTTTCATTCTTTTAAGCATGATTTATACTGTATTACCTACCAAAAAGGTGATTAATGATCTGTCTTCTGAACCTGACCATTCTTTCAGTCTTCCAGTTTTGTTTTACTGTAGTGATAAACTTGTCCGACTCTCATAAGAGTTTAGTGGAATTTGTATAAAATTTTTCCTCTTGTACTTGGTAGGACAAAGGCCTTTATATTCGGTTTGAGTAGAATGGTGTCAACATAAATTTAGACAAATAGAAAATAAGCATTTCTGAGATTCCTAACACCTTTTATGGTTTATCATTATGTTTTTCTCTTCTAAAATTTTTTAATTTCTGTGACTGAAGTGTGAAACACTACCCCTTGCTTCCTCTGTCCCCCCCCCCCCCCAAGAAAAGGAAGTAGAAATACTCTATAGAAGACAACTATGAAAAAGAAATTCAGTCAAAAACATTTGAAGTATGGTTAGTGAAACAGACCTTTTTTCCTTCATGACCACGTTCTTTATGGTAGCTGTTATTTCTAAAACACATGTTGATCACAGGCATACTTCTGAATTTGATGGCATCACTCTAAGTGTACCTTTATTGCTACATAAGTATAAATGTCCTGCTCAGTCTTTTATCTAGAAATGAGATCTGCAAATGCCCTTCTTTAATCTAAAGAACATTCAAACAAGGTTGGTAACTGTTGTGGTTTGAGTGCAGGGAGCAACTGAGCACCAAGCAGCCGTTCACTCCCCCTTCTCCCCCCAGCACTGGGAAGGAGAAAATAAAACAAAAGGCTTGGGATTTGAGGTAAGGACAGGGAGGGATGACTCACCCATTATGGTCACAGGCAAAAGACAACTCGTTAGTAGAAGAAAAAAAAGACCATAAATTTAATTCAGACATTAACAACAAAACCTAACAGAATAGGGCAGTGAGAAGCATTACCACATCTTAAAAACACCTTTCTCCACCCCTCCCTTCTTCCCAGGCTCAGCTTTGTTCCCGATATCTCTACCGCCTCCCCGCCGACAGCGCAGGGAATGGGGATGCAGTCAGTCCTGCTGCTTCTTTCTCCTCGGGCTTGGGGGAAGGACTCCTCACCTTCTTCCCCTGCTTCAGTGTAGTTCCCTTCTCACCGGAGAGAGCCCTCCATGAACTTTCTCTGACAGGAGTCCCTCCCACAGGCTGCAGCTCTCCCCGAGCTGCTCCAGCGTGGGTCCCCCCAGCCTGTTGCAGTCCTCCCAGCCCCAAAGTACAACAGCAAGGGCTGCTTCTTCCCACAGAGGCCCGGCCTCCTTCAGGCGCAGATGCCTGTCCTGGTGTGGGCTCCTCCACAGGCTTTAGGTTGGCCTCTGCTCCACCAAGGACTTCCGTGGGTGGCAGGGGGGGCAGCCCTGCCATCTCACCACGGGATACAGGGGGGTCTCTGCTCCGGCACACCTCCCCCTCCTTCCTTCCTCCGTTCCTCCACTGACCTTGGTGTTTGCATGGGTGTTCTCCTCACAACTCCAACTCCTCCTCCCATGTTCCCCTTCTTAAATACGTTATCGCAGAAGCGCGGCCACTGTCACTAATTGGCTCGGCCTTGGCCAGAGGTGGGGCCGACTTGGAGCCAGGGGAGCTTCGAGAAGCTTCTCACAGGGGCCAGAGCTTCAGCCCCCACCCCTGCTACCGAAAACCCTGCCACACACACCCAGCACAGTAACTGTTTATGTAAAGATGCCCCAGGCTGGCTCCTAAAGCGTCAGAAGTCATTTACTTTTTCACCAAGAAAATGTCTGGAGTTAATTAATTTTTAAATTTCAGGCAGAATATTGCATTTTGCTCTTCCAGACTTGAGCATACCAGTACAGAGATAGGTGAATGTGATGAACGCTGACCACTGATAAAGATAGTGGTGTTATTTCTTGTAGATGCTGCCAGTTCTGGGCTGCTCAAAGCCGTTCAGTGCTAGTCTTTATTTAGAAGTATGATTGTAACTGGTGCTCTTACCTGGAAGTTTTCTGCAAGTGCTACTTCTGAGTCTCCTTAAGTATTGCCGACTGCGAGGCACTGCATCTGCTGCCAGTAGTGCTTCTCATTCTCTGTCTTTATTCCCTGTGCTTGGTGTG